CAAGCGCATCTACACACAACTTACCCTGCATGAAGGAACAGCGGAATAAACAATCGAATAAATTGGTCCGGGCGGTCATGGCGAAAAAAAGGAATCATTCCACACACTTCACCCAAGCAGGATACCTGAAAACAACTTTCGATCGCAACATGGTTTTCAGTAATTGAACACTTCAATATATTTAAATATCAACTTAACAACAAGAATAAATTACTTTTTAAGGTCATTAGTGAAGGAACAGTTGTAACCTTTATGTGATTAAGGTTCATGATTTATTTAGGCAAAGTTGTTGACTGCATTGATATCATAAGGCTGTTCGTATCTGGCTAATTAGATCAACTGAAGTAGTGTTGGCTGCCTTGTATGATGTCTTCTACCATTCAGATGCCAGAGGCAGGTTTATTTAGCAGTTGATGACCCTTCTTGTAAAATGCTGCAAGTCAGCGCACAGTCGTTGTCCAGAAGACTTCGGTTAGGATTCACGTGTTGTATGCTGTCAACTGCTTCATATGCACAGATCATTCTGCTGTCTGTAGGTTGAGAGTAACTGGTCGAGATCTTCTTAGATTTGTGAGAAAAAATACCATTTCTGACGTTGTAATTTACATTACTCCACGCAACAGCACGTTGACATCTGAAGTTGAAGACCATTCGCATAAATTGTGATTATTATCCCTGGAGTCAGATTTCTATAACATCGTTGGAGCATTTTCTTCGTTTTCTGGTGTTAACCTTTAATGCGACAATCCTTCAATGCCATAAATAAAAGATCTAGCAAGACCTGATGGAAGACTGAGGAGAATCATGTTATTGTTTTAACAATCTGCGAGAGATATCGTTGAATATCTCAAGTTGCAATAATGGCTGAATAGAAACTTCTCTTTGACATTTGTACATTCACCTTGTTTAAGAGACGGATAGCACAACTCTTTTTAGAACACCGACATTGTCTCGAAACCGCGTCGACTGACTGTTTTTTCCACAAAAATCTGCTCGTACTATCCTTCAGTCACGCCTGTGCTGTTGTAAGGCATGGAAACTGTTGTCTCAACGAAGGGCCAAGAAGGATGGTTCAGCTGTGTATATCAGCATTGAGAGGTAAATGACGCTAATGGCTACGCTACGCTAAGCCACGCATACTGGCAATTAAATGACATGATCATGTAAGGAAATACTCTGCCTGTTATGGGCACATATGTCCACCGCGTAGGCGGAAATCAAAAAAAGAAACTTGGCATTGTCAGACATACTGGTCGAGCACTAATTATTTACGGTAGCGCAGGAGCCTTTCCAGGTGGGAGTAAAAACACGGCAAGCCTCATCAGGACGGCTGATCAGCAACATCAAGGAACAATGCAGACACAGATCTGCTTTCGGAAAGGAACCGTTATTTCTACAATGCAGTAATTGGTACCTTATAGCAAAGTGTCAAAAAATTAAAAATATAGCCGAGATCTGAATATACAAACAAGGTTATAATCTCAACGCACACAATCACCGCTAAACTATAGAGTGCATACCGTACTTTCGTAAACATGATGCAGTAGAAATATGACAATTTCTTTACTTAGTCAATGGTGGACTGATTTTTTTAATAACAGTCAAATACTGCTAAGTTGAGCTAGTAACCGCTCATTAGCAAGCGTGCAAAAGAAGATGATAAAAGCACAAGTATTAAATCGAAAATGCAGAAAAACTGTTCAAAACTACTGGAGACTTAATTCAAATGGCAACAGTTTAGCAGTTTGAAACAGAAACAGTTTGAAACAGAAAAACGAATTTAAAATTTTGCTTTGCAGCGGTTACCTGAGAACACAACGTCGCCTCTTCGTGAAAGTAACCCTTAACAAAATCACAATATTCTCGCGTTGTTATCCTGCATTCTCCCTGAATGCCAATGCAGCACGGCCTCCCGCTGATCTCGCATCGGGTGTGGGGAAAATTCCTAGAGTAGGAAGACGACGCGCAAATCTAAAATGCATATATGAAGCACAACTTTACAGATTAGTATTAATTACCGGCCAACGGGTGATGTCGTCCGGCCACACGTAGGGATTAAGAGAAGCCGGTTTCATACAGTCCCTAAAAATAACGCGTGGCTAAGGTACATTATATTAGCGGTCATTTTTTAGAACCTTGGATCTTGTCCGCAAACACTTCCAGACAAACGACCTTCAGGACCAGGGACTTGTTCTGTCCATTTTTCCCACTGAGCAAGCCAATGCTAAATGAAACAAAATTGGAACACATCTATCATTACAAAGAGAATATTAAATGTTCAAATTTATTCTTTAAGATTCATACAAAAATTAAGGGAAGCGCTGCTAATTTTGGAATGCCCCTACTTTGAACAGTGAATGCCATTTGCGCACCTCTTGTTTACGAAGACAGCATCTAACGCTACGAGAAATTAAGGGCGTTTAATTTCATGTTTCTCTTGCATTAAGTGGTGCTCTACTGCCTATCTACCCGGATACTATGAAAGAGATTCAAGTGGTCTGGTTGGGACACAAATAGGCGATGTGACGACCAAACTTTTGGCAGTATACTTTACTGTGTTACTTACTGATGATAGCCTGGTCGGCAGAAATTTTACTAACACTAAATCTGAATTTTCTTGAACAAGGAATTCACCCAACGATGATTTAATAGAAATAGGCAAAGTAGGCACTCAGTAAAATAAATAAACAAATACAGATGTTAATAAAACTTCTGCACCTCACGTGGCTCTGACAGAAAGTCAATAAGTGATCCTAGGAGGTTGATGACTTAGGAAGAAAGTAACTAGAATTTTAGTCGTCTTTACCGAGCATTCATCTTTCCGCGACTGGTAGCAAGCCGTGTTGTCGTTCAAAATACAACATGCGGTGTTATTTTCTTCTGTTCTCTTCTTTGCGATCTCTGAGTAAATGTTCAAATCGCGACGCATACAAGGTGCATACTTTGCTCCCAGATGAACCAAATCTGCCTGAAACACAATATCGCTGCAAGATAAAAAGAAGGCGACCAGATCACAGACCCCTTACGTAACTAGGACCGATCCAGAGATTTTCTTGTTCAAAGAAGCTGACTTGTTCGAGCACCATCGACGGCTGCAACACCCACTCTCGGTTTGACCTTCGACTAAATCCGATCGGTCCGAAACCATACGTGGCCAATGCAATGATCATAACCAATATCTGCACCGTTGTCACCCAATATGTGAAATAAGGCCTAAAATGCAAAGTAAGTTTTCACCTGTCACACGACACGACAGTACAAGTCTATACCTATAATCGACAAATTCATCAAGCTGCATAGATACGTTAGGACTTAAATCTGACATGTGCCGAAAAGAACGATTGAACAGTTTGCCCATAACACCACCGCCGGGAATTCTGTGGCTTCTACGACGAGAGTAAACCTGCAATGCAAATGTACAATGCAAAAAAATCGAGGGAACGCAGCGATTGAAAACTAATGTACATTTTACCCTACTCCACAGTTTTGCGATGGTAGACTTTTTCGATCCCTGTTTTGGTTCGGTGGCGACTTTCATCTTCTTTGATAACATTTGCACTTTCGGTTGAACCAAAGGACTTGGTTTCGTTTCAGATTCATCCGTTGAAACAGCTCCCTAATTAAAAGAATTAACAGACAAAAGTTTACTAAATTTGGTAGTAATATAGAACAAACACATGAAAACATCGGCTTCAAACAATCAAGTATTGAACAGAATGAAAGAAAGAGATAGGAGATAGTTTTTAACCGCAGGAGCGTCGAATCTTCCCTAAAATTTCATGATGGGCAATGAAGCTAATGGATGGGCGCCAATCTTCATTTCCATGGTATCAGCCAGGAGTATCTTATTTTTAAAGGAGT